TTCTAGGTGAATTTCAGGGTGCTTCCACAGCAGTGGAGGAAAAAAAAACTCCTTGTAATCACACAGACTTCAGGGCCCCTGAGAGATTTTCCTTTCCCCACACCTTTTTCATTAAATTGGGAGAAGTCAATGTTGGCATTGGGTGTCTCCTTGGATTCCAGTATCCCTGTGCAATCACTACAGCTGTTTCCAAAACAGGAGGAGGGATGACCTGGACCTCCAGCAGAGAGGACAGGATGGACTCAGAGTTATCCACTTCCTCTAACTTCTCTTGCCTTTGCCCATCTTGTTTTTTGCCACTGAAAGTGGTAACTGTCCCACCCAAGAGCAATGGGCTCCAACATACAGAGTTACACCCATTAAAGACCACGCATGACAAGAAATTAATATCTTGTTAGAAACATGACACTGATACAAGGGCATTATAATCACTGAAAGATTTAAGGGGACATGATTACAGTAATTTATCTCCTGATGTGATTACAGTAATTTGTATCTATTAAAATTAACCCACATTTTAAATCTCTTGCCATGTTAACTTTTTTAAGGAAATGATATGCTTCAATTTAATGATGTGAAATTCACCCCAAGCACGCTACTTATTTCTTTTCAATTTTGTTGCACAGCTATAACACAACCACAAAACAAAAAGTACCAGATACAGAAGGATTAAGTTACCTCAACGGCATCAGAATGAAATTGTGGGTATTTCTGGCAGTTTTAGTGAAGATTTTTTTTTCTTTTGAAGGCTCTTCTGCAGAAGTGACATAGCTGTTCTCTTCCCTGGACATCACCTGTCACAAACATTGCACTAAAGGGACAAATCAATATACCTGCAGTCCATACCAGCATTTCCCTAGTCAGATTTTGCTTGTATGCCATTCAGATACATTTCCAAACTACAAGGAAGAGAGGATTTCTGATGAATAAATATATGGAGCAATTAAAATGAATGCCCATGGTGAAATCTTTCTAGGATAATAATAGATAAGCAAGAACAGATAAGCAATGCTCACACTTTGTGTGTTCAGAGGAATTTCAATCCAAGAATCACCCCAGCATCAGGTGGCAGATGTGCTGTTGCTGTTTTACAGCTGAGGAAGGCAAGTAGCAGCAACAGAGGCATTTGGAAGGAGGATGAAATAGTTACAGGGATAAAATAAGAGTAAGCACAGCTTTTCAGACATGAAAATGAAGCTCTCAGGAGGCTTCTTTTCCTTCTTCTCTCTCCTGTCTCCCGGTGACAAGGGGGGTCTCCAAGCTGCCATGTGTCTATGCTAAAACTCTGGGAAAACAGTGTGACCAACTCTTCAGTCCACTAACTTTTACCCACTGACTGGGGTTCAGCTGTTAATGCCATCCAAGCACTTTCTCCTGGATTTGAATTCTGGTTCCTACCTTTGGAGAAGGACGTGTGAGCAGTGGCAAGCACTTGGGTTAGATGATGAAGATAATGAAGGAAAATAAGTAACAAAACCCAGAAGCAAGTAAGATGTAAAGGTCACAGACGAAACAGTGCCAAAGTAAAGTGAATTTGGCAGAGGAGAAAAGAGAGGGGAAAAAAAACAGCACCAAATTCAAATTATCCTGTGTTAGCACAACCTACAGCACTGCCTTCCTGCCCAGCTCTCACAATCAAACCCTACTGATCTTCCCTAACTTCTAGCAGATTTCAGGCAGAGGAGAATCAGGTTCCAAGAAAACAAATGAAGTGCCAGAACTGTGATACCTATTCCTTTCTCCTTTCCCTCTTAAGTCTTCCTGGGCAGGACTGAATTCCACCAATTCCCCATTAATCATAATTTTAAGGCTCTACATTGACAGTAGCAAGCCAGAGCTAGCAGCACTTTTCCTTGTAACCTAAACTGGCGTAGCTTCAAAACGTTGTGCCATAATTTCACAAAGCAGGCTGGGGACACACTAAATTTGTATTTACTGCTGGCAGCAGTTTATACCAATGAGGCACTGTGTCAGGATGCTAAAATAGTTTTTAAAAATCCAGGAAAATGTTGTGTACAGCACACCTTCCAGTAGCTGGTTTCAAGCAACCCATGTGTAGCACTGTTACACCTCTGTCTCATAAGAGCCAAACAACTGAGCTTTGTTATAGGCTGACTTAACATCAAGAATGTCTGTAATTTTAATTTACATCTAAATCAAAAAGAGTATTTGATTCCAGATAAAGCATTTAAATAAATGTACATAACTACTAAAACCAATTACAGAAATTATGTGAGGACATGCAAGAAGGAAAGGCTGAGGGTTAGTCTAGATTAAAATTCATGACAAATTGGCTGTTCTTTTAATTTTAAAAACACAGTTTTTCATTTGTCAATTTGATAAAATACATGTTCAAGAAACTTCACTCCTACCAGATATTGGTTTCTATGGCTCACTTTGCACAGTTCACACAAAAGATGTATGTGGTTTATATCATTATTTTTGGACACTTTCAAGGATTTCCTAAAATGCTTTAATAAATTGTTAAAAAATCAGGTTAGCCACATTAGAAAAAAGAGCAGATAACCCAGGACTGATGAATTCCTGAGTGCTGGTTCAACACCAAACACCTCCAGCTTTCTTTGAAAAGAATGTCCATGCTATTTTCTGTGTTCCCAGCTGCCCAGCTTCCCCTAATTCGTCTCAGAATTTTGTGCTACTCTGTTTACATTATGTATGCAGGTAATACTTCGTCCAAAGAAGAAAATTTGATTTCTTATGATGTATAAAGTAACAAGAAGAAAGTGGACCTAAACTAATAGCAGAGGATTTAATCACAGCAAATCAAGCAAGTATTATGGAACATATTTTACAAACAGATAAATTTAACTGAATTGAGCAAGCTGATGGAATGAAGTAACAGCACAATTGGAAATCAAAGCAAGAAATGCTATTTCATTATTTATTTGAACTCAGGCCACTGGATATAAGCAGCACATGTGACACTCCCCACTTCATGCAGATGTTTCTGACAGAGAGAGAGGCTTGTTGCTGTCCTGACTTCTTGTGTTGGCAGCTGACATTAAGCAAAGTCACTGCCCTTGCTGAAAATAACACACAACAGAAAAAGGGCCATACCAACTCTAGATAAGCCCTGCTCCAAACTTTTGAAAGAAAAATGTTGTACTACTTTTGAAATTTAGATGAAAGAACATGCCTGTATGGTGAGAACTAACCCACCAAAGAAGCTGCTCTGACTGGTTTTCTATTTTGTCAGCTGTTCAGCTATTGAAGGGCCGTGCTGCAGTATGTCACAGAATTGTAGTCGTCAAAATAAACGAGCACAAGAAGCCTGCAGTACTGGGATAAATATTTTCTTCCCTTTTACTCTTTTAAACAACTGATCACTGCTATTTCTTGAAATAGCAACATACAGCATAAGACAAGAAATTACCTCAGGCTTTGTATTTTTCAAGATGTCTTCCCAGCTCTCCCAACCCTTCTGTGCAGAATCACAAATTCATTATTCTAGGACTCTTTTCCACTCTCACTCTGAGACCAGTCAATGACAACAGCCTCACCATGCCAATGACTGTAAAAGGTTCAGAGTCTGTCTCTGAAAGAATGACTGACTAAACAATGACAAAGACAGAAAAAAATTCTATGCAGTTGCACTCACTTTCCCCCAAAAAGCCACATCAGAAGGAAGGAAGGAAGACAGCTTGACTGGATGCACTAAGGAATGCATTTAAATTTAAATTAAAACCTGATTATTGTCGTAATGAATTTGTATTTAGGAAACCCAATGATTAACTGAAGAGAAAGTCAAAAGAAATGAAGCATGGCTTACAATAGAACTGTGGAGGCAGCATGCTTTAGTTGACTTGAAATGCTGCTATCTCTATGTAAAATTGTTGTAGGTTTTGATTGGGTTTTTCTTGGTTGTGTTTGTTTTGTGTTTTAGTTTTCAAAAGACTTAACCTCATGAATGGTATGTGAAAAGAAATTTCAGTGCCAATTATTTTCTGTAGCTTAATAAAAAATACATTCTTAATGCAGGTATCACGTGTTTAATTTATTGTGAATATATAATGCAAATGCAGACAGAAAAATGGTTGTGCTTCTGCAGGCAGAAGGGAAATCGGCTAATGTCACTGTAACAGAATTTCTTCTACAGATTTCATCAACATTTCTGATCTATCTGCAGCTGCCTGAGCAGGTGGAACGTGTTTGAAATAAGAGCAGTATTAGCTTTGCAGTGCTATGTCTACTGATGTGAAATTCAGACATTTTCTCTGGTAATTTGCATGTGTCTGTATCATCACCAGTGATGCTACTAATATTTTGACTAAACCAATGAAATATTTGTCAGTGTTGTGTTAATATTATCTTTTATTAAAATAGTATCAGCCATTCATCCATTCAGGAAATTTTTCAAATATTCTGTTTTGTTGGGTTTTTTAAGGAGCCGATGGACATTTATATAATGTATAAAAAATTAAATAATAAAGAAACAGCTTGGACATTTATATAATGAATTTCACTTCCAAGTGAGGCTGACCAATATTTTTCCCTGTCACTGCAAATGAGAAATAGGAACTCAAATCGGAACTCATTCTCCAGAAAGATGAAAGATGAAATGACCGAGTACTGGAAGCCTGGAGGTGAAAAGTAATTGGCACAACAACTTCTGGGATGTGTATAAAATATATTGAAAGGGTCAAGTAGCATAGCAATTTCTAGTTGCTGTGATAACAAACAACCATCATGATATAATTTTCACCCAGAAATTGACTTCTTTGATGGAATCACGAGCAGTTGTCATGGTTTTCTTACTTCCTACCTTCATACTAATGAACATATTACAATACACCAACATATCTACGTTTTATTATATATTATAAACTCCTGAGATTTTGTTGGAAGAGGTTGAGAAAAATCATGTTGCAAGAAAGAGTGGAGAGGACTGGAAAGAGATCACGTTCTTGTTCCAAGTAGCAGAAGCGTTTTGTGAGGCAAGGATGCCATTCACATTGAGACAGACCATGCTTACCTAAAGTATTGCAGAGTTGGTGGTGATTTTGTGGATGATTAGTGCTTCCAGAGACAGCCTGGCTCAGCAATGTGCTACCTGAGCAGAAATCCACTGCCCAGATTGAAGATGTTTCATGGAAGCTTCATGAAACCCACCCAGCAGCCAAGACCAAGTCCTTTGGGAGTAGCACTTGGGTGGATGAGGACACTGTGTCTGAGCCATTACAGTCTGGGAAGGAGGAGACAACAGAAAGATTCATGAGGTGGAAAAGCAGCAACTCAATGCTGCTCAAACATCAGCACAGATTTCCTGGCGCCAGGCATTGCAGGATAGTTGCATTGCAATCAGTAAAAGCAGCAAGACAGAGCTACAATTGAAGGTGCAAAGACAGTGGTCAAATGCCATCATTGTATTGGATGGAAGCTGTCAAACATTCCTCTCTGAAATCACACAATACTGCATCCCTATATTTTCATTTTTGTGTTATATAATTACAATGCAATCCTTTGATTTCCACTGCTCCCAAAAAAGGACAATAAAAAGCATGTAGCAAGGTAATGAACAAAATTATCTTAAAAAAAAAAAAAAAAAAAGTAGAGAGTCACAAGTTTAATAATATTATTTCCTCCTTGGCCATGACTCTCCTCCACTTTTTTAATAAAAAGCAGAAGTGTTATAGAATATGTATGGAAAACATCATCAGTGCCAAATGAAAAGGGTTCCAAGTAAGTAGCACTCCCAGTTTAGCAAATTGTAAAGCCCAGAGTTGTTTGAAGCTGGGACCTCACAGACAACAAGCAGCCTTCAAGTGCCAGCATTAGCCCATCTCCTCCTGCCTTGGCTGCCCTTTCTGGGGCTATTTCTGTAAATATAACAAGATATTAGATTGCCAGGTCCTGACATCTACTAAGAGAACCATTTGGGCACAAACTTTCATCATTTAAATGTTTTGACCATGAAGTCATGGGCAGCATCACCCTGTGAGTCCTATTTATAGCTCTTGTGCTTCTCTGTAAGGTCTTGAATTAAAGGTAAAAGATTACTTCACTTCTTTTATACACAGTAGAAAACTTGTTGAAGTAAAGTCAGTTCAGTTGAATTTTTAGAGCGAAAGGAAATCAGGCATTCAGAGTCCTGCCTTTTAACAGTGAAAGGAGCTTTTATTATTTTAATAAATATCGTATTTTGTATGAGGTTTATAAATATACTTGGCAAAGAAGTTCCATCCAAATGTTAGCAATTTCATATCTTTCATTTAAAGGATATTGACCCAGTTGATTTGTAATTAATTGCAAGGCTTTTTTCCCATTAGCTTATCGATTGAGGAGCCTGCAGTGCATTCCTGACTGCATTATAAATTACAGCTGTGCTTCCAGGGTACATTTGGTTGCAGTTAATTCCGATTGTCTACATTTTTCACGTTGTAAGAGTTACCTGCTCTACATCTTGCCAAACCATATCCCTTACAGTAGAGAACTACAGGTCCTTTGTTTTTTGTAGATCTGCTTCTATTAGCAATAAATCCAATTTTCTGCTTATTCAGATTTAAGAATGCAACAGTGAAAACCAGAAATGCCTTCATTCTCATGCTCTCAAAAAAGGCCTCAGCCAAAGCTCGTGAAACCTTCTGGAGGTTTTCCAGTGATTTCAGACAGCTTTGAATCAGGCTGATTCAAACCCAACAGAGTAGGTTGTTCTAAAAGTAGGCTTGAAGACCATACTTTAAAAAAAAGTCCCACACCTTCAAATCATTATTTAAAAAAAATCCTTTACTGGAAGCTCAATAAACCTAGCAACAGTATAAAAATTAAACCCTTCAATAAAATAAAAGCAAAATATCTAGGAAAGGGGTAAATTCCAATTGTGTTCAAGAAGATGGAGGCTTCATATAAGCTTGTTTTTCAGTAAAGGCAATTTCCCTTAATAAAAAACCAACCAAAGAAGACTTGTGCTTAAATAGCACTTACCTGAATTCACAGTAGTGGAGTTCAGTAATATGCATTGGAGTTCTCATGTAATCCACGACCTGGGCCATCATTAGTGCCTATACAAAAGAGAAACAAACCAAAAAACAAAACCAGTAAGAAAATAAATAAAAAGAAAAGTAATTTAATCTAGATTATATCTAGATTGTGGCAGGAGAGAATACTATCGCACCCTAAATTTTATTTAAGGACCAAGCCAAGAGCAGCTCTCATTGCAAAAAGTAGAGCCATTTCTTTTCTGTTCCAGGAGTTGCAGTTCTGAATGTTGGTTGTAGGCACAGATGTGTGTCCTGAGCAGCACCTCTGTCAGGCTCACTCTCAGCAGCCCATAATTCCATTTTAGTCATTTGGAAATAAGCTGCTTTCCCCAAAAAGCATCTTCCTGGCACTACAAACTCAACATCCTGAAAATGAAAGGAATTCTTAAGTACCTAAATTACTGACGGGTTCAAGTCATTACCAAGAGGAAACATCTCTTGGAACACTGGAATTATGGTGCTTTCTGGCAAACACTGTAGCACTGCATTTCCACCCAAAATGGGAAGGCTTCTGAGGCCAGTCACATTTTAGAGGTCCATCTTCTTTCTCTTGATCTTCACAGCAGGATTTCTACTAAAAACCCAACTATGAGGGAGAAACTGATGTCTTGCTTTTATAGAAAGGTTTTCCAACAAATGAGATAGAATTAAACTAGAGAGGATAAACCCATTGCAGCTGAAAAAAAGCCTGCCTCAGAGAGGGTTTCTGTGCCAGCACAGGCTAAACCAGTTCCTAAAACAGAACACAGTTCAACACCAGAGAGTTGTTTTACATTTCTTTCAGAGTCTTTGCCAACAGAGCAGTATCAGTTTAAAGGCTCAGCTGCTTTGCTTCCTGGGCATCACAGCTACATCCATGAACACTGTTCAGCCTGGGCACTAGTGCATGAGCAGGGACAGGGTGCCCCATGTGCAAATTGCTTTTGAACTGACAAAAGTGCCCTTGCACCATGAGCACAGTCAGGCCCACTCACTGCTCACTCCTGCCAAGCAAACACATGCAGCACAACCAGGAAAAAATCATCTGCTCACACAAATCTGCCTGACAGGGATCAAACTCCCCATCAAACCTGGCTTGACACAGTCCTGCCAGCAAACATCTGTAGCAGAGACATGGCCTAAAAGTCACTGCTTTAAAGGGAAAGGCCACCAGCTGAGATTTGCTTTCCCTTTGATCTTTTTGAATGTTATATCAAAGCAATCCAAAGGGCCTCAGCTGAAGGGGTTGTTGCTGTACTGAAAAGGCAAAAACAGAAACACAAGAGGAGGTGGGGGATGAAGTACACACACACACACCACAGAGCACCCTAAGCCTCCCAGAAATACAAGGGGTTCTGGGAGTTAATACTTTAACTTTATTGTGGGTGCCTGTCACTGGCTATCTAAAGGCCAACCATGCTGCTTATATAAGACCCAAAATGTCTGATTGCATCTGGCCAGGGATTACATGTCCATATGCACAACCAAACCATTAATTAACTTATTTTTCTTCTGCCACTCATCAAATTTCTTTCAGAATGGGATCAGTTAAAATGTTTGCACAGATGGCAGCTTCCAACAGCAAAGGCTGAATACCACATACTGCAGACACGCAACGCAAAACTGCCATGACACTGCATTATTTCAATCTATGCACCTAATTGTTTCAAGCCCTTGAAAAATGTTACTGTTTAAACCATAATTTATGAATGGCCTCAGAGTAATCTGTGGCTGCAGCCAGCACAAAGTCATTGATCAGGCTGGATCCATTCACCCCTTTTGGACAGAGGCTAACAAGCTGTGTGATGTGATGGGCTCCTGTGCAGGTTCTCTGCTCCCAAGTGGGAATTCCACCTGCTCATGTCTGCTCCTTTTCCAATGCTCCAGCTGACATCAGACAAAGATGTGCTGAGATGTGTTCTCACACAGCCTAAAGCAACCTGAAATAAGAATTCTGGATATCTGTGGATGTACACTCATTATCACACAGCAATTTCTATTTACCTGTTTACCCTTGTCCCTTTCTGCAAGGCAAGCCAGCCAGCCCCTGCAAGGATTGGTGACCTTGACACACATTAATTAGACAAAGCTCCCATGCCTGCTGTTATTCCCTGGAGGAAACAGATAGTATGACCAGAGCTCCTCAGGGGATGGGCTGTGTCTCGTAGTGTCCTTGGAAAGCAAAACATTACCACCACCAAAATAGTGAGAAAAGGGTGTTTTAGAAAATCATTGACCAGATCTACTGGGTGTTTTCCCTTCCACAACACAAAGAAGGATGAGACAAACCCCAAATATCTCCCAAGAGGGGTAGAAATTCATAATCCTTTAAAGCAAATACTTAGAAAAACAGAAATCCCCAAAAGAGTCCTCTTGTACACATTTATTAGCAAGACTAATCTTGGCTTCTTAACTCCCTGATTATGCTTTCGAGGAATAAGGAAGAGAGTTTTAGTTTTCTTGGCAGTCCCACTGAAAACTGCCAAGATGAACAAGTAAGAAAGGTCATTTCAATATCTAAGCAAATGGCAGAAGCAGACTACCAAAAAGTAAGACAGACATAATCTAAAATGAAATGTGCTGGACAGAATTAATTCCCCCCAGCAAACTAGAAAAGGAGGCTGGTCCATATCCAGCTCACAATCTTTTTGCTTCTTTTGCATCCCGTGTTGCCTTCCATGTTTGCTCCTCAGCAGTCTCATACTGTCCCTGCCCCTGCTCTTGGCCATTCCCATTTAGCCATGCCTGCCTCTGAAGCACAGGTACACCCACTGACATCACACACAAACACCTCTCAGAAAACAGAGCTGGAGGTCTCTGCACTGCCAGTCACTCGCCTTGCTCTGATCTATATCCTCGTGTTTGCCCCCAAAACCACTTTCTTCAAATCGACTTGACTTTGTGGACTCTTCATTACAGAAACTAAACCAGGCTTATAGAGTCCTACACACCTGAGCTTTGATAAATTACTACAGGCTAACTTGACTCATGCCTGGGAGTGAAATATCCTTAGATAGCTCATAACTGGTTATGTTTGTAATGAACTTTTTTATTTAGCATCCCTACTGAAATCCTTGATGTTACACTCCTGTGCACAAGCAGCAAATATTTTTTTTTATTCACTGTTTTGGCACAGACAAGCTGAGTAGCAGTTAGCAGCATTAAGGCAGGTTTCTCAGCTGTGTAACAGGTATTGAGATGAAATCACAGTTGCACGGGTTTTGGTTTACAAATATCCTTCTCTGGGTGAGGGGAAGGATGAATTAGGCTTAGTCTCAACTGACATCAATTGCAAGGGTTGCAAACATAGTATGTTAGGTAAAATATACAATTACTCACTGGAAAGTGCTGTTTGTGTGCTTGAAAAATCAGTATAATGGACTATCTCAGTGGCAATGGCCTTATTTGTGCATGCAGAGCATGACAAAGGATGCAGGTAAACTGCCTGGTTTTGATGAAAGAGCCTCAAAAAAGGCTGGAGGTGCAGACAGTTTACAGATGGATTACAGCAATGTGGCTTGTGCTGGTCAATCACAAAAGCATAAACTATATTAATTCACCTTAATGTAGTAACTGCATGATTCATCCTAAAATATTTATCAGCTGGTTTTCCCTCATCCACAAGAGCAAACATTTAAGCAGATTGCATTGGTTTAACTGAATGGATTTTATGCAATATTTTAGGGAAATTAAGGCTTCTGGACAAGATGCTTCTGTTTGCAACCGTGACCCAAAGACAGTATAATTCAGCACTCCCTTATAAAGTTAATTAATTTGCTTTCATTCTAATTTGTCATGTTATCAGAGACAGACAAATGAAACCACAGGGTGGAAAGAAAGAAAACACAAAGGAGGGGGCAGAAAGCAAGCCTCTTCCAGTGAACAAAGCACAATTTATATTTTGGTTTTTATTAACCAAATATGATTTAGCTATTTCCAGTAGAGCTGGAAAGTCAATACACAGCATTTCTATCTGCAGTGATACATGCCTCACTTCTCCAAAGGATGATTAAATGGGTGTAAAAATCCACTGGGATATTTTCAGTGTGACATTTCTGCCATGACTTTATCCAAAACACAGAGTATCAGCTCTCAGGAAACATGCCACTTCCTAGCTCAAAGGCTTCAGAAGGACTCAGTGGCAGCCCTGATAGAGCAGGAATTTCAGTGACAGTTTGATCATGTACCTTGCTCCATGGGGTTTTCATTCCCTAGAACCTATCACAAGAGAACGGTGTCAAAGTTGCACAGGCTGTAAATGAAAGAGGGTTTGCAAACACAAACTGCTTTGGGGCTTCCCTTGCACCTCCCTGCACTGCTGACCAAGGAAAATGCTATCGAGTCAGATCCTTCTCACTGCAGAGGAGGGGGAAAATAGTATTACCAAGGCCAAGGCAGCTGAAGCAGGGGGATTTCAGCTCATTATACTTGTATAATAATATTCTTAAATAATTCCCAGAGAAGTGGAGAATCGGGGAAAATTATGACAGGCAAAGCCTGGCTGCTGGTCAGAAATCCAAGCCAGTTTAACCACATCTGACCTATCTGGCATGTTTTTTTGTGGCAACTGGTATCAATAAGTCACCTTAATGTCAAGAGTGTGTATTTTTTCAGGAGTGGTCAGGATCTGATTTTTTGAATCAGATAACACTTCCGTTAATAAAACCTATAGTCCATAAGATGATTAATTAATGTGACTAATATCAACAAGATTGAGAGCCTATGTGTCAAAGACAAACCAATCATTCCTTCCTTTGCTCTTTAATGTATTTATGGTCTTGTGCAGAGGAGGAAAACAGTCAGTAAAGGAAAAAGCTATAAATAGTAATGGGCAAGCAACTATAGCAATTTATTTTTTACCATGGTGAAATAAGAGTTGAAGCAATTAATACTGGAATTAGCCCACCTTAAAAAAAAAAAAAAAAAAAGGCACCAAAAAACCCAAAACCAACAAACCAAGCAGGGAGAAATTAAAAAAAAAAGGGCTTCTCAATCCCTACTTCATCATGAACAAGCTGACCTTTGGGGAAAAAAGCCTGGGTCTCTTGGAACAGGACCAGCCTGGATTTCTATCAAAACACTGGCAGTGGTGTTTTTTGTGGTAAAACACTGAGATTAAAAAAACAAAGCAAAATTATATTCTCATTTCTTAATGTCAGGTCTTTGCAGAGCTCCTGTAAGCACACAGAACATGGCTGGTTGTGTAGCAGCAACCCGTTAGTGGTGCAAGGCTCTTTTCACAATCCCTGCCTCATCACTTTATACATCCCTAAAAAAAAATTAACCAGCAGAAGAATTTGGAAGCCTAGAGGACAAAACACCCAGCAAAACATTCAGACAGTTTATCAGGAAGAGTTCAGGACATTTGAATTAGAAGCATGTTGATAGGGTGGTGTCTGCAGCTGGAAACCTTACCCAAAACTCAGCATAGGAGTGCACTGCCCAGGGGTAAAAATTCCTAATGGCATCCACTTCCAGAGCAGAATTTTTCCACAAAGAGATCTGAAAATACTCCCCCAAAAGAGGCTCATGACAGAAATCT